AAGAAAGAAACAAATGAATTTGCTGATTATCGGTTCGAGAAGTAATGAAATTACGCGAAGATCCTAGTAGAACGGCGGTCCGGAATGTGTTAATTATGTTCATATCCCCCTTTTAGCCTGCGTACTTTCGCTGGTCCTAGCGTGTACCCTCCTCCCCACATAAACGGTGGAAATCGAAAACTTTACCTTCAAATCACAGTTTATAACTCCTAGTGACGCTTGTAGTACGCCTACGCTTTAACAACTTATCCACATACGTTAAGGAAGATGCTTATGCTCTGCAGTGCAGCGAAGAATTTTCTGTTCATGGGGAAATTAAACAATTCTTAGTAATGCCGTTTTGCTAATTCATTCACCAGCACAATGCTCTGAACTGCACTGCATAACATCTTGCCACTGATATCTGAAGCTGCCCAAAGCGGGCTACCAGCCTCAACATTTACTTCTACATTCTTTCCTGAACAACATACACTGCATGGTTTGATGCTTATTCCTTACACCTTAGCCCTTGCCTCTATTTAGGACCACGGTGATGAGCCTGATACGAAGCTTTTGACAACAAGTGAAACTTCCACGACATCGAAAAGCCCTGTTCAAACGGATTTGGAAACAGATCTTGAGAATGTCTCGCCATCGTTGCTCACATCCTCATCTCCTACTAACATGAAAACAAAGCCTAACACTGGTATTCCGAAGCCTTCTAAAATACGGCCTCCTACCGCTACCACTAAACTCAGATCAACGGAGACTAACGGTGCACAGGTACATTCACACCATGCTCTGTTCGCAGCTGCTTCCTCATAAAGCACTTGATTAAGAATTTTCAGGAAGACTCTCGCATATCTAAAATACCAAAAATTTCGGACGGCTTGCGAACGACGACTAACGGGCAGTGGTAAGTTGCATTGTTTAAGTACTAAATTTGTTAGATCATTTGGGAATTTCTATCCAGCTACCTTCAACAGGAAGGGAGAAATCAATGCTGCAGTTGGGGTGTGAAAGGTGGGAGTTACTTTGGCCGTTGTAAAGCATGCGTGGCATTCGAACCTTCCCTAAGTGAGTTAACGTGAATTTGCTACTATAGCCAACCGGCTTAGAATTGCTGGGAGAGTTTGTGCGCATTGTGAATATTACGCCCCACTATCCTATAACTGATTTTTAGCTTATGGTCGGAATATGGATCATTGTGGTGTAACATGGTCGGAATATGGATCATTGTGGTGTAACAGTTAGCTTTGTAATAAGGATAGAGCTTGACGACAGATCAAACCCCCCCTGTGTCGAACCCAGGCCTTACATCGCTCTGGGGTCTCTTGACGGGTACCAGACCATTATGTGAGAAGAGACTGTTGTTTGAAAGGTTCATAGACGATCATCAGTCGCCTTTCAGCACGCAGTAGATATCTATCCTGGGGTGGTAGTCTCTTCCCATATTTGGCCCACAATCAGTAGCTGAGGTCAGGTAGTCGTTTCCAAAAGGTTCAAGGTTTGATTAATTGGTGGTGCTTGCTCTTTGCATAAATATGCTTTTACGATATTGGGGGTGGGGTGCATGGTGTGCAAGACAATTCATGTCTTGCTTTCGACTATATTACTTTTTTGTAGGACAAGAATGCGGTACTACCGCGCCGGTGTTACTATTATTTGTTTTTTTCAGCGCATTTTCCGGAACCACGCACATTCCTATCAGGACTGGTTTTGACCGAACATCACAGAGTCGGTTAATCACTGATTTGTAATAGTTTTTGCTGCTTCGCTGTTTTGTATGCCGGCTTGAGAGTATACTCACTGGGTTGGGGTGTCTCCTCCATTGCCGAAGCTCCCTTTTCTGTTACAAGGCCCTTGTGCGGCAGTCTCTAGACAACTAAGGGATGGGGATCAATAAAAGTGATCTCGTCAAGGCGCACAAATGCAGTGTGGCAGAAGGCCGGGAAACGGCTGTTTTCTTCATCTAATCAATCCTACGTCATCTCGGTTTGCATCTATTAAATATGTAATTTTTGTTTTTTTTCTTTTATTTCCGGCATTTTGTACAGTGTCCTTTATTGCTCTTGCATGTTGGTAACGTATACATAGTAGTACCTGTAATATTAATAAAAATCTTTCCTTTTTTGTTGCATCACACATGCCTGGTGCCAATTGTTGAGGGGGGGGGGTGTCTTGGGCAGACGAGAGCACTCCATCGCGATGTGGAAATCTTTGCTAAATTGGCCCCTTTTGCAGATGTACCTTGCACCTTGCCAAACTTTTCTCGAAGTTTGCTGATGAGCGAGGGCGGGGGCCTAGGGGGCATTCCCAATCAGTTACCAAAAATAGTAGCTTTACAATGCTGCCAACAAAATGTTGAGAGGAGAGGAGGAACATTGGGGAATATAAGGCGCCCACCAAACGGAATAATCACCAATCAGAAATGGTTTAGAAGCCAACCACGACCCCCGCCATTCTGGTGGGTATTGCACAACGTTGTAGTCGCTGTAGGCCAATTGGGGAAGGGGTGACGCCACGAATGAAACTGTTCGTCTGCGTCCTCTCACCAGACGATGACGTGCATTTGAGCGGCTAAGAAAGCATAGGTTATGAACGCAACCCTAGAATTGGACCTTAGAGTCGAATATGTTGTGAAGCTCAAAAAATTTTGGAGTTTACCATGAAGAAACATAAATTTTGAAATCTTTATATAGGCCAGCATTCACAGAAATAGCTATAGTTATTTTTTCGACATGATTTATTACAGAGAGTAGATTGGCGTGTTAGTAAGTTTACTAGTCATCCGGCTACTCCTAGCTGTGTGATGGGTTGATCGGTGCAGTGAACGCTTCAGCAGTCATTGGTCGATTTCTAAACAAAGCTACTTT